AGAATCGCACCGTCTCGCTCAGCTCAACCCAAAGTCAACAATATCTTTTTAGCGATTCACAACTGGCGTCGACGTGAAAGACACGTGCTGCAAGACGTGCGTGAACTATACGGCAAACTCTTACACGCCTGCGAGGCATAAAGCGCGGCCGAGCTTACCTCACTTCCCTAGAAAGCATGCTCGGTATCTGTGCAAAGAAACCCTATCTCCCGCACCGCCCCATTAAGGACATCGAGGCGGATCTAATATGGTGGTCGGATCTCCTACAAAACAGCGGCGCCATCAAACCAATTTACCCACCAGTACCATACTCTAACCCCCTTGCCTTCTCTGACGCGAGTTCCACCATAGGAATAGCTATAGTAATAGGTCATCGCTGGAGAGCCTGGAGACTCATTCCGGGGTGGCAGACACAGAATGGACAAAGAGATATTGGATGGGCGGAAGCCATCGGCTTTGAACTTCTCGTTTGATCCCTATCTACTCTCCCCAAACTCGGAAATACGCTCACCGTCTATGGAGACAACATGGGAGTGGTCGAAGGATGGTGGAAAGGTAGAAGCCGCAACAAAGAAGTCAACCTCGTATTCAGACAGATACATGAGCACATCCGTCTTATACCCAAGCGTTTTGCAATTCGAACGTCTTATGTCCCCAGTGAACACAATCCAGCAGACAAGCCATCGCGAGGCATCTACCCTCCAACCGAGTTTCTACTCCCTCCAATCGATATTCCCCCCGCAATTCAACAATTCATCGTCGACGCCATCAGCCCCCACACCCTTGCTGAACTCAAGCTTCTGCGCAACAGGCATTACCCCCCTGCTGCCGCCAAAATCATCAACAGAGCAGTTCTCCGACAACAAGGAGCCGAATACAACAGGACGCGCCGAGAAAAAGAAAACCAGCTCCTTCGCGAAACCCTCAGCAACAGTTCAGAGTAACACGCGGCCTCGGTTCGATTCACCGCTCCCCAACAGCATAACACCTCTCCTCTGCCCCACAACAATACAGACCCAACCTCACCCCCATGCCATCCCCTCTTCGTCCTCACTGCCTAGCCCGCGACCGAATGCGCCTATGGCTACCACCTGGCGAAAGCCTGCGCCAAACCATCTCCTCAGGCAGAGAGAACGACATCCGCATCTCCGACGAACAACTCGACCGCATTCTCGAAGTCATGGGCGCATGCTGGGCACCCTCGACCAAAGAAACCTACGGGGGCGGTCTATTAGTATTCCAAGTCTTCTGCGACTCTCACAGAATCCCAGAAGAAAAGAGATGTCTGATTTCGCCCAACTTACTCCTAACCTTCCTATCGAGCTGCACGGGTTCTTATTCGGGCTCCGCACTTACCAACTACGCCGCCGGTCTCAAAGCATGGCACCTGTTGCATGGACAACCCTGGTTCATAAACGCTAGAGAACTCAAAGCGACGCTAGACGGCGCCACAGCACTCACGCCAGCTTCATCCAAACGAGATAAGCGCACTCCTTTCACTCCAGACATCATCATTAGCATATGTGAACACCTGCATCTCGACGAACCCAGAGACACCGCCATCTTCGCTTGCATTACAACATCCTTCTATGCAATTGCCCGCCTCGGAGAATTTACTGTACCGTCCCTGAGAAGCTTCGACCCAGCAAAACACATAACCCACGCCCGCGTCACGCAGAAAACAGATCGCAACAATCTACCTGTTACCTCATTCTACTTGCCTAGTACGAAGTCCTCCCCCATACAGGGCAAAGAAACCTACTGGTCTGCTCAGGAAGGTCTTTCAGACCCCAAAGCCGCCATGGAGAACCACCTCAGAGTAATCCGGCAGAGGCGTCAGCACACCTCTTCGCCTGGAAACACCACAAAGGCCTCCGCCCACTCTCAAAGATAGAAGTGACCAAGCACATCAATCAGATTTCATCCGCGACAAACCTACCCAACCTCAAAGGCCACAGTATCCGCATTGGGGGCACGCTAGAATACCTCCTGTGCGGAGTTCCATTCGACGTAGTCAAGGCAATGGGTAGATGGTCGAGCGACGCCTTCACCATCTATTTGCGAGACCACGCCATAGTAATAGCACCCTACATACAAGCATCACCAGTGCTGGAACCGTTCACGCACCTCACGATGCCACCAGTGCGCTAAACGTTCCGAGTGAGCACAACTCCTTCTTTACTGGGGTTACAAGCTGCGCTGTATGCGTCGCTGCACTCCTAATACTCCGGGACTCACAGCTCACCTTTTGCACCCAGGTTCGGGCCAGCGTTTCGGGCCGGAAAACCCTGCGGGTTTTCGCCCAAACTCTCGTATACCTAGTCACCATAATCGTAAACACTCCCGATAGAATCCACTCTCGCTTGTTTCTCTGACTGATCACTTAAGCATCGAAACGCATAGAATGACAGAAGTCACACGCAGAAGTCACACGTCAAAATAAAGGAACAAACAAAGATTAATTTTTGAAAATGTGCGTTGAGTTATCGACCATCACGTTGAACACCGTAATTCGATGGGACCGACGCCCAGCTAACCTATCACTAGCATTAATATCATACTATCGAGCTCTCGAGATACAAATTGGACAGTCCCTTCCTCTCAACGCAATCAAGCACCCCATCCTGCATTTCTCTGAGCGCGTCCGTCCTCCCCCATGCAATCATTGTCTTACCCTGGTGAAAGCTCCTATATTGTTATATTCTCCCCCTTTGCGAGGCATTTCCACTGTGACAGTTCCCTGACATGAAGCCCTGTATGATCACAGTCCCACTTGTGTATTCATGCAAGAATAGAAGACACAGCTTCCTCGATAATCAACGTCACGATAGCCACATCTCGTTACTGTACAACTGCTTTCTGATTCTGACTCAATTTGTGATCAAATATCATGGGCAAAAGTTGAACGTACTACCGGTTGTTCTATTCGTTCATCGTTGATGGCAAGCTGACAACAAGGGTATGTCTTATACGTATCACACGAGGCAGCGCTAATCATCTATTCGCAGGTTCATATACTTGTACATACACCTTTGTCTTTCATCTTGGCTGGTTGTTTGCACGCCACAATGCCCAGCGCATCATCCAAGCATGCCAATTGATTTTCTCCTATCTAGCTCAAGCCTTGCTGATCCGTTGACAACATTGTGGGTGTATTGCTTCTATGTCGAGGTTGAGGGTTGTCGAGCTCAGAATATGCTGACCTGTCGACAGCGAGTGAGTGTGTCGATCCTCCACGGAGGTCGAGCACTGCTACCGAAGACGTCGGTGATCTGTTATCAGGATGTTGATAGAATACAGTCTATTGTAACGTACAGCAGCCCGTAAATTTACTACAAATCATGATATCACTGCAATCCGTAACCAGATACCCTGCCAGAACTGCAAATCATACTCAAAGGAAAGAATGAGATCTATGCCTTGACGTCTTCCCACAATTCATCCGGTAATGAACCAACAGCTGGAATCTGTTTCCGAAGGTCGAAAATTGTCGCGGCATCGATGCTATACAGTTGCATCAACTCGATGATTTTATCCAAGGCATCACGATCCGCGCGCGCCAGGAGTGTCAAGTCCCGGTCATACTTCCGAATTCCAGCATGAACTTCTTCGCTCGTTGGTGAGGCATGATAGGCAGCGACAGCGAGCTTGATGGCCCTACGAGATAGTTCCTTGCTTTCCGACACAAGATAAAGTGTCTGCAACACAAGGGTCAAGTCGACGATATATGTCATGAAGCGCTGAAGCACCACGCAGCTGACGGGGATCTCTCAGTATTCTCTCGATGAAGGATAAGTAAAGGTACGTACGACTGCTGGTACACGTCATGAACCCATACGGCGAGTACGACGCCCGCCACGATCGGCACCACGATGGGAGCCGCTGGTCCCGCCAGGGCAGACATGATGCCCGCGATAGTACCTACCATGGAGAGCCCGGATAGTACTGCGAACATTTCATGAGATGACATCTGTCGCGTAAAAACCGGCCTACATGGTCCTGCTAGGATCAGCTGTAGGTCCAGTTTCTATCTTCTTATCCACCAGGTTAACCATCAATGTCCTGAATTCGGGGCTGTCTAAGTACTGTGCGTAAATCGCGTCAGAATAAGTAAATGCGACGACAACAAAAAAATAAGATCACTTTATGAGGGTCTTGGAAGTTCCACACAGCAATGATGTCAGTATGAACCACACCCAGACAGCTCCATGTCGTTCGGTTCTTGAATGCTGCGCTTGATACGAGCGCTTTCCAATATTCTGTAAAACAGACACGGAAGATTCAGATCGTAATTCAGTAATCGGAATTGAGAACTGACTTCTCTTGCCGACCCTAATGATACGTAAATCGCGAGATAACAATGAAGCAAACAAACTTACTCTATCGAGGCCTTGATTTTGAGTCCAGGGTCCACTCGTTGAGCGATGGAGGTCATCACCCACGCCTCGGACGGAAAAATTCTGTCGGACGTGGCTTTCAGTCGTCTCGATAAGATGGGCTAGTGTTTCTTTGTGGTCTTCCTTGGCTGGATATATTCAGAGGACAGGCACGAAACGATCGCAGTAGTAGTACCCACTAGAGACCGTGGCGTAGGGGATGTCAGACCCCTGCAAATTGCTGTAGGGGTCCGATGCAGACCTCCTGTAGCTCGGTATCCGCTTTCTTCGTGATGAGTTTCGTGGATCGCGCTGTTGCTCAATCCTTCGAGCAAGGATTCATCCAGGGTGTGATCCACGCGGTCGATGAACATGTCAAATTTAGTGAGAACGACGACGACGGGGACTTTGACCAAAGGGTGAGCTGCCACACGCTCAGAGCCATAGTCATCGATCGACGTACTGTTTCCCAGCGCGCCCTCACGCTTTAATGTCAGGAATTCCTCTGTACCAGTCTCGAGTAAACGCCCGCCTTCGCGGGGTATTTCGAAACAAAGCCTTCCGTGGGTGGCGTCATCTTGCTATACAAACTCATCGAGACAGAAAACTTACCAAATAGCATGCAGCTGATCTTTCAGATCAGGCATCTTTCTCCGACTTTCGATGAATTTTTTTGACTATAGTGAGGTTGTCATCTCCGCCTGGTTCGAAACCTTTGCTATCGTGGAGAACGAATCGGTCGTTCTGTCGTGATATGAAACTCGTGTTGATGTTGGCTTCGCCCGCCTTATCATTGCGAAGTGAGCTATGGAGATGGCATGAGTAAAACTCTCCGTGAAGTATCGCACGTAGCTCACCGCGTTTTGCACCCCAAATGCGAGGTTGATCACGAGGACTTGCCAACGCCGGTCTATTGGAAGCACCGTATCAATACTGACCCGAGAACAGCGAAATCCTGATACCTTTCCTATCACCAGAATTCGGAACCTTGGGAGCCTCTGGTGTCAACCCGAAGAACGGCCCTTCATAGTAATCCTGACTCACCGAGGACAAATCCGAATGATTTCGTCAGTGGTAGGCTGGAGATCCGACATGGATCCTACTTCGGTGGTTGCGTCACCGGAAAGTTTGATGACTATCCTGAATTTTTTGTGAATCTTGTTGTATTCTGTGAATGTGGCGTTGAATGATTAAGGTGAGAGAGCGGTGGTTATTGCTCGACCTTGTCTGTCGTGTTCTGAACCAGACACGCGGAACATGTCTTCCAGTTCGAAAACAATGTCTTCATGATCGGCCTTCATGCCTAACCATTTCTTGTAGTGTATACGTACGGAAAATGAATCTCCAACAGAAGCTTCCTGAAAAGGACAACAGCAGGTCAGACGGGCACATTTGTCCTGGCCAATCAAGTCATTACATGGGCGGAGAAAATGTCTGTCGCCAAGCCTTTCCTGGACCGCGTTCGGCGATTGGCATGTGCAATTTGCCGATTCGTACTTGAGCAGATTCTACATTCTTTCTCGACCTGCTGAAATCGACAGAGACGCCTATTCGGTATATTCAGTAGGACTCATAATTCAACTGATGCGAGAATTGAGTACCGGAGATGTGGAGTGGACAGGGAACGGCGGTGTGAGCTTGAAGAGAATTGGCCATGGTCACTCGAGTTAGGGAGAACGAGGGAAGGGTCGCGGTAGATGTACCTAGAGGTTGATCGCGGGCCATGCGTCAGCTGCGCTAAAGTGAGGTATCATCGTGAATGCCTCATGGTGTACCCTGGGCCAGTACGGTATGTATTAACGGCCAACACTTTGGTCGTCATTCTGAAATGGAAACATGTGGGTGAAGAGAAGAAGGCCCAAAATTGAAAACAGCCTGGAAATTAGGCTGGAATGGTTGATGTGGATAATCGATAAGGCCTTGAGGCCCAAGGGTGATGTGTATCGATACTACATATGCCATATGGAGACTCGGACAAATTGGTAGTAGGGTTTGAGTAGGGTCGATAGGTTCACGCACAGAACAGTCACTGGCCGCATCATGGGGGCAGGGCGCTTTGTGCTAATACAGAATCGGAACAACTGTCACTTCTTCAAGTTGAAGGCTTCTCGAATCTATCATTTGGAATCTACACTGCCGCCCAGGGTGAACATGCGCAGTGCGCATGCACTGAGTTGTAAACTTGCAGTCTCACCACGTCCTTCTGAATGTAATTCATATGATTATCACGATCGTTCAAATTTGCAACACAGAAGGGCAGTGACTTCCGAATCTTCGATGTGAGGTATTCTGAGTCCTCGTATATGCCTCCTGGCACACATAGCCATATGCCCATTGCCCACTGGACCTGTGCTTGTGCGCTCGCAGAATTCACCCACTCCGGCAGTGGTTATAAGCCGTGCTGGACGCTCCCCAGCTGTCTCATTCACCTTCCTCCATGAATCCTTCAAACTTCAGACAGAAATTCGATCGCTTGCGAACTCTCCTTGCAGGAAGAGGCCGTGGTCATAGGCCTGTGCTGGACACTCCTTCACCTTCCTCCGTGGATCCTTCATCAAGAGACATCCAGAGCGCTGCTTCACCTCCCTCCATGGATCCCTCAACGATAAAAGAGAAATGTGGACGCTTCCGAATCCTCATAATAGGAAGGGCAAATGCAGGAAAGACCACCATACTCCAGAGGGTTTGTAACACACGGGAGAACCCAGAAATATATAATAGCGCTGGGGAAAAGGTGGGCATAATGATACTCGTAGTAAGACGCTAGTTATGATTACTCATCTCGATCAGATCGATCCCGCCGTTGTGATGGCATCCAGAGAAGTAACATGTACTCTTATCAGGTGATAAAATGACCTAATGCGTTCTTAGCGCGGAGAGCACGATATCGAGAATGAAATGGTATTTCGAAGCAACCCAGGATTCATCTTTCACGATTCGCGCGGCTTCGAGGCTGGTGGGCAATCTGAATTTGACACGGTAAAGGCATTTATCGCAGACCGTTCTACGAGAACCAACATGAAGGGTCGAATCCATGTCATATGGTAATTGTAATTTATCTATGATAACATGCGCTAGTTCACTTCTTTGGCATAGGTATTGCATACCAATGGACGAGGATAGCAGGTCCTTTACCCAAGCGGAAGTCAAATTTTTCTCGTGCGACACTGGTGGCAGTAAGTTTTCATACATGTCCATTGTAAGTGATCGAGTGATTCGCAGTCCGCAGTCCCAGTTATAGTAGTATTCACCAAATTTGATGCCTTGTACGACGTCGAATACGCCCAGCTGAAAAGGGATGAAACCTTATCTTGGGAAGATGCTCAAGAACTGGCCCCTAAGCGTGCTGAAGAGTCATTTGCGAACGGGCCGCAATTGAAGTTTCTATACAACGTCGAGGACATCGGGCGGCCTCCCAAATGCCATGTATGCCTCCCTAGTAAGCCGGTTAATTATGATACATTATAACTGTTGATCTACACGCGACATCAGACATGGACAAGGATGGCGCAGACTGTGGGCTACTCATCGAGCGCACAGCTGATACTCTGGACCACAAAACACTCAAGCAGTTGTTCGTCTCAACTCAGCAGACCAACTTGGAGCTCTGCATGAAATATGCAGTTGAAGCGTAGCTACCTAGGTTCTCATTTACATGTGGCGAGTATTAACAACCGAAATTTGTAGAACACTCGCGGAATTTGTCGAATCTGCTCAAACAAACCGATCTCGCATTTCTGCGGGTCATGTAAATGAAATAGGCAAGTTGTGTGCCTGGTTTCCACACATTTATGTGAGATTCTTGTAATATCCAAAAATTGCTCTCATTCATGTTGGGCGGTTGCTTGCAGATAGTATGTCTATTTATACTCTCTGGCGCGTCATCTGAAGACATTGATGATGGATTGACAGTTTGTGAGTCCATTGATCCTCCACTGAGCTCGAGCATTGCTGACTGATGAAATCGCCGATCCCCGATGACAGGAAGTGAGTCTTGATCAGCCATCAAACTCAAACCTCGTTGACCAAAGAAATTGCCGATCTTTTGACAGCGTGTGAGTGTGTTCATCGTCCATCAACATCGAGCGTTGCTCACCGATGAGACTTGCCGACCTATTGATAGAATGTGGGTGTGCTGATCGTGCGCGAAGCTCAATCCTTGCTAACCGAATACATTGCCGGTCTGTTCATAGCATGTTAGTTTGTTCTTGCTCCGTAAAGCTCGAGGCTTACTCACTAACGACATGGCTCATCCGTTGGCAGAATGTGAGTGCGCTGATCCTTCCTCAAGATCGAGGATTGCTCACAATGAAATTTCGTATCCACTGACAGCAAGTGAGTGCATTAATTATCCGTCCACTGGAACCTTTCTGACCAAAAACACCCAACCACTGACAGGGCGTGAGTCCATTCATCCTCCATCAACGACGACCTTACTCACACATGACATCACACATCCGTTCACAGGAAGTGAGTGTCCATCGAGCTCGAGCCTTCCTCACCGATGATGTTGCTGATCCGTCGACAGGTTGTGAGTGTGTCCGTCCTGCACCCAGCTAGAGTCTTCTTGACCGTAGTGGTTGCCAATCTGTCGACAGGTTGTGAGTCTGCATCCTCTATCGAGCTCGAGCCGACCTGACCGAATTCATTGTTGATCTATTATCAGAATGTGAGTGTGTTCGTCCTCCGTCGACGTCGAGCCTTGCTCACCGATGATACTGCCCTGTTGACAGGCTGTAAGTGTGTCGATCGTCCATCGAACTCAAGCCTTGCTGACCGAAGAGTTTGCCGATCTGTTGACAGGTTGTGAGTGTGGTCATCCCGCATTGACCTAGAACCTTACTCATGAATGAAATGACTGGTCTTTGACAGCGAGTGAGTGTATTGGCCCTCTGTCCGAACTTGAGCATTGCTGACAGAATAAATGGCCATTGGCGAATCTGTTGACAGAAGGTAAGTGTGTTCGTCTTTCTTCAACATTAAGCTTTGCTCTCAAATGAACCTGCTGACCCATTCATAGGATGTGAGCGTGTCAATCCTCTGTTGACCTCGACCCTTGCTCACGAATGAAATTGGCCATGAATTGGTAGATTGTCAGTGTTTCAATCCACCATCAACCTCGACCCTTGCTGACTCTGTTGACAGGATGTGAGCATCTGAACACCGGATATGTTGAGTCCTGCTCACCAACGAGATTCCTAATTGTTTGACAGGTCGTGAGTGTTGCTGATCCTCTGTGGTGCTCGACCCTTGCTGACCGAAGCCATTCCCCATCCATTCACAGCCCGTGAGTGTGCTGATCCTCTGTGGTGCTCGATCCTTGCTGACCGAAGGCATTCCCCATCCATTCACAGGCCGTGAGTGTGCTGATCCTCTGTGGTGCTCGACCCTTGCTGACCGAAGCCATTCCCCATCCATTCACAGCCCGTGAGTGTGCTGATCCTCTGTGGTGCTCGACCCTTGCTGACCGAAGCCATTCCCCATCCATTCACAGCCCGTGAGTGTGCTGATCCTCTGTGGTGCTCGATCCTTGCTGACCGAAGCCATTCCCCATCCATTCACAGTGGTGAGTGTGCCGATCCTCTGGTGCTCGACCCTTGCTGACCGAAGCCATTCCCCATCCATTCACAGTACAGTGAGTGTGCTGATCCTCTGTGGTGCTCGACCCTTACTGACCGAAGGCATTCCCCATCCATTCACAGGCCGTGAGTGTGCTGATCCTCTGTGGTGCTCGATCCTTGCTGACCGAAGCCATTCCCTATCTATTCACAGGCCGTGAGTTTGTTGACCCTCTACTCACATCGACTATGTCATCATTATTTTGCCAGGCTACCCATCCTGTATACAAGCAGATGCAGCCTAGCTTACACTATCTGGTATGTCCCATCAGTTACATACTTTCCACACAATTCTCATATTGACCTTGTGCTAGGCCTCTGGCTCATCAGCATTAGAGCAAATTGTGCAGCTCTGTTCTGGTGAATCTTTAGGCGAGATTGAAACGAGGCCACTGATCATTGATCGACTAGCTACTGTTATTATTCTCGAACGCTCTTTCCACGTCTGGGATCAACGACGTTCTCTCAATGACTTGCAGGGGTCCCAAGACTGTTCGCATTGCTGTTGATCAGTACCTGAAATCTCCGCATGCAGCTGTTGTCAAGGAAGCTGTGAGCACTGCCATACATACATATCAAGCAGATTCGTCTATTGGAGGCTCTAAAAAGATGGCGGAGTTGGCCAAAACGATTCTTGAAGTCGCTTTGCAGCATCGTCTACGTATGTTTCAATTCTTATGATTGTGGCAGTTCCACTGATTTCTTTAACTTCAGCAAGGTCCTGATGCTAGGAAGCATAGCGTCATGTTGAGGATATTCGGAATTGAGCTGAATGTGTCTTGTGGCGAATGAAGGTTTCTCGAGGTTTCTTGGAGGTCTGTTGGGTGGTTCGAGAGTGCGGCACTGTACCAAATGGTTGTATCATCACGCAATATGTAACTTTTTCATGGGATGTGTATGCGTGCATCAAACATGTCAGTCACCCGAGATCCTGAGACGGCTGAGGGCCCTGTTGAACATCTTAATTAACCGCTTGATGTACATCTCAAGCGCTATTGCAATGCGAGTTTTTTCAATGGTTCTTTCTACTTAGTACGATCTCACTCTCCGGCTAGCTTTTCTCAATCCGCGCAGAGTTCACACAGGTCCCTTCTCCGGGCCAATCTGATACGGGCGGGGCGTTGTCGAGCGCGATGGAGCAACTGTGGTACTCGCAAATGGGCGTTTATCACGAACGGCGGCGTATCTCAATTCTAGTAAGTACTAGTACAAGCGAGGTTTTGGTGTACTACATACCTACTGATTATCTGCTTCTACAGGTACAATGGCGCGATATCTGACCCACTACTCATTAGTTCAGGGCCATGTCGTTGTTCTTGTTGCTGGATCTAGAAGCCGACAGCGAACATGATCTACCAGACAAGAATACGATTCAGAAGACGTCTATATTCATGGCGCCACCTATCTTATGTACTACTGTTGAGATGATCATCAACAACTCGTGTATGTGCATCAATGACAAGTTAATACCGCGGTGCGCCGATCCTGATCGAGGTGAGGGGCCGTTGATCATTATTGGAGATTGATGTGATTGAGTGTGGAGATGCAGTGGGACGCCATGGTGCTGGTGATGACTTGGTCGTAACGCTTGAGTTCGAGGTGGGAGGGAAGCCTATGTAACTCGTTGTGGATAAATACCGTTGTGCGCTCGCGATAGTAGTATTGATGACGAAGTCGTCCGGGTGTAGTAACGACACATAATTGGGTGTAGAGAGTGATATGGGATGCGAAAGTGAACGAGGAAAAAAAGCTGAAGAGATTGCCTGGTGGTGCACGTAAGACCAATTGATAGCACGGGAGTCGCTCAGCAATGTCGTGGCTTGGGGTTCGTTCGTAGGCGCATACATGGACTGGGTCTCCCAAGAACTCAATGTAAACTCAATGTAAAGATAACTCACGAGGGACCGAATATATGCCGTACGGTCAAGGTACAGTTGGTGGTTCGTAGACTCAGCTGCTCGTCATATGTACGTGTTGTCGAAGACTACTTTGGCAGCAAGTTTCCCAAATCCAAGTGAGAATTTTTGAATAACTTACCAATGAGGGGCTTGAAGGGTCGCATAGTTCAGCCCCCGCGGCAAGTGAACTATGATGAAGTAAACTGGGATCTGAGTCCGATAGGAGATATTGGGATGCCCTGACGGTGTTGGTACGATGTATGAAAGGAGGAGGGGCCTTCCCCTGCGCGGACCGCGATCGCGGTTCATAGTGCGGCAGCATGCGAGTGGGGGAGTTGGAATGTGCGTTGAAAAAGACTGGGTATGAGCAGGTCACTTGGTCCGCCCAAAGGGGACTGAAAATAAGAGAGTAAATATTGAAGATATCTACTACTCACGAGATTTAGGGCGAGCAGACAAATCTGTGAGAGGGAATAGTGACGTTGCTCGCCCTCAACCTTTGGGATGATGATTAGAAAGCAGCGGCGAGGGACATTATTATAGAAGAAGAGTTGACGACGTGAGAAAGGGGCCAGAAGAAATGCTAGTAGGGCGACGTTGATGTTACGGAGGAGTGTTATGACGAACAAAAAAGTTAGTGGACGGCGTGAGGACCGAAAGAAGAAGGGTAGCTAAGAATTCGAAGGAGTGAGTAGAAGGAGATGGAGGAGGTCGGAGAGGATCGGCCGGAGGGAGAGTGGAAGGCCGGGTGCTGTGCGGTACGGTGGGGCTTGAGTTAAAGGTGATTCGAGGGGACATCGAGTGAAATGACCATCGGCGAAAAATCTACGAGAGGGGACAGTGATACAACTCCCCCTCTTAGCGCCGTTCGACCTTTGAGAGATGACCACACTTAGAGTGGGAACCAAGATACGAAGCTGCAGCAAAGTGTGCCATTGAAGAAGAAGAGTGGATGTCGTGAAGAGGTCATGAGGTCAGAAGAGAAAACTTAGTGAGGCGACGTTGATACGACAGAGAAGTGAATAACAATGCACATGATGAACCAAAAAAATTGGTGGACGACGTGAAGAAATTCACGACTGAAAGAAGAAGGGTAGGAGATGGTGGGGTGAATAGAAGGAGATGGAGGAAAAATGAGAGGATTGGCCCGGGGGAGAATGGAAGTTAAGAAGAAGAAGGCCGGGCGCTATGCGGCATGGTGGGGCTTGAGTTGAAGGTGATTGAGCAAAATGAGCATAGGAGGCCTCGAGTCGAGTGTTAGACTGCAGGTGATTCTGGCGTTGCGGGGAATAAGGTTGTTAATGATTGAACTCATATGACTGGTATGAGACGACGCAGATGATGAGTAGGACTGTGCATTGGCGGGAGGAGCAGGAATATTCCATGTGGAGAGTGAGGGGAAGACTGGCTGGCAGGAGGGATAATCGGATGTCGGATGTTTGTGCATGGCTATGAGACGGTTCAGATGAAGCAGGAGTGCGGGTATTGATTAGAGGTCAATGGTTGGCTGCCGTATTGTCCAGCAGAAGGATATGGCTCCTGAAAAGTGTTGGATTGGTCTGTTCATCATAACCGGATGGATAGGCATTGCGCTGGCTTTCAAACTGGAAGCGTTGTGGGGGAAGTTCATACCATGGAAAGCTTTTGTATCCTCGTTGATGATGACGATGGAGTGACATTTTACCACCTTTTGCCGGTAGTGAAATCACATTCGAAAGGTAATCTAGAGTGCTCTGGAACGCTCTATGCCAGGTCTAGATCTGCTTTTGATTGAAATCTTGCGAGAGACAAAATGTTGAAACCCCCCGATGTGTGATGGTATGGGAACCACCAAACACCCAAAAACACGGCTCCCACACACGTGGCAGGCGTTTCTCAGTTTCCGTTCCGCCGGCCTTCCTCGTGTACTTCCTAGTCTTCGACGACGTTAGGCTATAGTAGGCCACTTATAGGCTGTTATAGGTTTATCCGCCAACTCGAGTCAAAATTCTAGGACAAACCTTATTATCTTACATGTTCACCTCTGAACTTTATATCTTCAAGTCAATCCAATTATATTGACGCTGTCGATCTTCCCATATAACTACGGTAGTATGGATGTCCATGTGTTGTGTCATCATCGAACCACACAATTTCCCTGCAATGGATCACTCCCACCACGCGACACTGAACTAAATCCCACCCCGAAGATTAACTCACATCTTGACGAACTCCGTCCATTCGCAGGTAGCAGGATTTTTAATTGACCTGGTGGGATGGTACTCTCATGGTCGACCTACTTTGCCGTATGCGCCCCACTTATTCCATGTATGCCCGTGGACTCCGCGCTTCATCGCACGCTGAACAACATTTTGAATCTTGCGAACATGTTAGTCAAAGGTGAGTCTAGATCTTGCCAGAGCGCTCTAAATACCTTCGTAGTTGAGAACTACTTATGTTCCTTTCCTTGTCTCTGAAGATTTTTCAGATAGGCAATCATCTAGTATGGTACTCTGCTTTTTCAACCTGCGTCCCGGAAAGTCTAGAACCTATCATATTCATTCACTGACTTCACCGTTCCCGAATGTCAGTATTAACGCTTGGTTGAAATCGCCTTTGTGATTTCCACGACCAGCTAACGACCATCAGACCAGAGCTTCTCAATTCTTGGATGATATACCTGGGCCTTCCTTGATATTGATAGTAAAGATGACGCATGAGCAAGGTGGCACAATGATCGTCGTCCTTTTTTTATCCCATGGACGTGATTTGTCTATTAACATCGCCTTCCTTCCTCTTCCTTCTCAACGGGCATACTTATCAGCGACGAGGGCTGCGCAAGGCCGTGCAGATGGTATGTAATTCATAACAGTCGTCTTCTGTGACGACTATTGAAGGGAAATAATTTTCCCTTCCGCGCTGCTTACTCTTTTGGGACTTGGCCACCGCATCAGACATTTTGCGATAGGACAATCGCCGATGAAGGAGCGCGATATATATTATGCTATGCGACTACAGGTCATGTTAACGTTCACACCAGCGGGGAACTAATTCCCTCGACTGCCCTTTGCGTTGGTTGAGTTCAGAGTTGTCGCCCTCCAGTTGATTTCAATTTGGTATACTGCAAACGTCGGATAATGCATATGACTGACGCGAAGGCCTGGGCAGACGCCGAAGAAGAGTAGCGTTGCTCTAGTTCGTGTCTGATCGATGATACTTATATATAGCCTGCCGTTCCTCCGGTCCGTAGGCAACATGCAGTGTAGGCGTGGATGACGCGAGGGCAAGGATGTAACTTTCATAGAAGACCGTCTACTTAAATTATTGAAGCATAGTACAGTAGCATGGGCCAGCCAGTATTCCAATTACTACAAGTGATAACGTTGCCGCAATTCCATACCCAAAACAACACATGCCAACGTTGCGAAACTATTCATGAAAGAACGAATCAAGTGCTCGCCGTGTTTTCTTCCCATGGTTCATCTGGTGCTGAGGCCACAGCCGGAATGTCTTGCCGAAGTTTGGAAATGGCCTCTGCATTGATGCTATACAAGCGCATCATGTCAATGACTTTATCCAGTATATCCCGATCCGTGCGGGCCAGGAGTGTCAATTCCCTATCATACAACTGAATACGAGTATGAACTTCCTCGCTCGTCGGCGAGGCGAGGTAGGAAGCCACCGCAAGCTTGATGGCCCTAGGAGACAGTTCCTGACTTTCAGACACAAGATGAAGTATCTGCAACACGAGAGTCAAGTCGACAATGTAGGACATGAAGCGCTGAAGTACGACGCGGCTGACGATGATCCATCAATATTCTATTCATGAAAGGTAGGTAGAGGTACTTACGACAGCTGGTACACCTCGTAAACCCATCGGGCAAGTACAACACCTGCCGCGATCGGCACCACGATGGGAGTCGCAGATCCTGCCAGGGCGGACAGGATGCCCGCAATGGTACCCACAATGGAGAGCCGCCCAGCACTGTGATCATTTAATGAGATAGGAATTCATCTATCATGAAAAAGAGCGGCCTACATAGTCTGGTTGGGATTAGTCGTAGGTCCGTCTTCTAACTCATTGACCATGTTGACCATTAGTTTCCTGAACTCTGGGCTGTGCAAGTACTGTGCACAAATCACGTCAGAGTGGATGCGACGACATGGAAGACAGTCATTACATGATGCGGGTCATGGAAGTTCCACACAGCGACAATGTCGGTGTGGAGCACATATAGACAGTCCCACATTGTACGGTCCTTGAATGCTGCGCATGATACGAGCACCTTCCAGTATTCTGTAAGAGACATGAAGACTTAAATCGTGCTCAGTAATTTTCAACATGGAATCGAGACAGACTTTTCTTCCCAACTCTAACGCAGTGTGAACCTCGGGTTTAAAATGAAGAAAGCAAGACTTACTCAATGGACGCCTTGAATTTGAGTTCAGGATCCACGCGCTGGGCGATGGAGGTCATCACCGATGCTTCGATCGCAAAATTCTGACGGACGTGGTCTTCAGTCACTTTGATCAGACGAGCGAGTGTTTCCTTATGGTTTCTTTTTGCTGCGTTCGTACATTTAGGAGGCACGTATGAAACGGTTAGAGTATTGCTACCCACTAGAAATCGTAGCGTGGGGGATACCAGGCCCTGCGAATTTCTCTAGGGGTCTGATGCAGACATCCTGTAGCTCGATGTCTGCTTTGTTCTTAACGAGTTCCTTGAAGGCATCTTCGTCCGATCCTATTTCTTCCAAGGTACGATCCAGGCGGTCGATGAGCATGTCGAATTTCGTGAATACGACAATGACGGGGACTTTGACAAAAAGTTGAGCTGCCACCTGCGCGGAGCGATAGACATCAATCAACTCACTTTTCCCAGCTTCCCGTCACGCTTCAGTGTCAGGAATTCTTCCGTACCGGTCTCTAGTAAGCGCCCGCCTGCACGGGGTATCTCAAAACAAAGCCTTCCGCGGGTTTCGTCAGTTTGTTATATGAACCGATCAGCACAAGGCCCTACCAAATAGCGTGCAGTTGATCTTTCAAAGCAGGCATGTTTTTCCGACGTTCAATGAAATTTTGGACTATTTTGAGGTTATCTTCTTCCCCTGGTTCAAAACCTTTGCTATCATGGAGAACGAATCTCTCGTTCTGTTCTGAGATGAACTCGGTATCAATGTTAGCATCACCTCGCCTATCATGCGAAGTGAGCTATGGAGATAGCATCAGCAATTTTTCGTGTTTAGTGCCGCGAGCAACTCACAGCTTTTTCCACTCCAAACGCGCTGTTTATGAGCGAAGACTTGCCGACGCCGGTCTATTGGAGCACAGTGTCAACAAATACGGGCGTGACATCAACGACGACTCGTTACCTTTCCTATAACCAGAATTCGGAACCTTGGTGCGTCTCTCGTGTCAACCTGATGAATAGCACTCCCTGGTCATCCTGACTCACCGAGGACAAATCCGGATGATTTCGTCAGTGGTGGGCTGGAGCTCCCGGTTTTCATCGGAAGAAGAGACGGGTTGCTCAGCCTGTTGGTTCACGATTTAGACGGCTTCTTATTCAAGACATAGACTCTTACTTCGGTTGTCGCGTTCCTGGAAAGTTCGACGACGATCTGGAAATTTTTATGAGACTTGTTGTACGCTGCACATGTAGCGTTGTTTGTGAGCGATCTAAGACAAAATATTGCTGCCTCACCTAGTTTCTTGAGTTCTACTCTTTCACGAGACTCACGGAACATGTCTTCGGTATCGAATACAATGTCTTGATGTGCGATCCTCATTCCAAGGAATGTCTTGTGCCGTACATGTAAGGAAAATGAATCCCCGAGAGAAACCTTCCTATAATAAGACAATTTAGACTGCGAACTATTTGAGTATCTCAAGTCCTCACATGGATGGAGAAAATGTCTGTCGCAAAGTCTTCCCTGCACCTCGTTCGATTTGCCTGTGCGACTTGCCAATCCGTGCTTCAGCAGACTCTACATTCTTTCGTGACCTGCTGAAATCGACGGAGACACCTATTCGGTATAATATTCAGTGAAATTGATGGTTCGGCTGATGTGAGAGTTAAGTACCAGAGATATGGAGCAGACAGTGAACTGGTGGTGCGTGGAGAGAGTCGGTCATGCTGATTCGAGTAAGGGAAAACACGGGAAAACACTCCAAGACTCAGTTCCCGCAGAACCCGTTACCGTAGATTTATCTAGGCCATTCGTCAGCTGCGCCAAAGTGAGGTAACCTATAGTCTTACCTGGGAAGGCCAAATAGAAGGAAGGCAGTCGTTCGATCTGGCACCCTCATGTATGCCTCATGCGCACCCAGCTATTCATGAAACTAAAATGAATGGGAAGGCCGCACAGAAGGATGACAGTCGGTAACCCAACGGTAACCTCGTGTATGCCTCATGGTGCACCAGGTGCAGGCTATTCACGGTCAACGCTTTGGTCGTTGATATGAAATGGACACATCCACAAGCGGCCTTGTGCCGCACCTGGGAATATTAATGGTTGAAGGTGGTGGAGTGACTATTTATATGGAGAATTTTGCACCATACTGACTCGAATTGTGGAAGACTATGGAGGTTCTCGCGGGAGTGTCTTTGAAGTAGGAAGAGTCGAAGACTATCGCATAATGAGGCAGCCGGATAGAACGCTGGAGGTGAACGGCTGATGACTGTCGACGTCGCGTCCGGCGGAAAGTGTTGGATCTTGGTGTGGGCAAGGGCAAGGGCAAGTGACTGGACTGTAATGCAGTAACTTCTAAGAGATGATCGATACAATCACGCCTTTCACTTACTAAATGCTTCTCAGCGTGTCGCTGACGAGTACGTGTACTTGTCTGATCGAAGTGTAGTAAACCACTGCAATATGTCGGGATATCTGGAAAAATTGACGATTAGCTAACGTAAATTGTGTAAATATGAGACACTATCATGATTGATAGTATCACGAGATTTAAGATCTTCGTGTCGGCCAGTCGCCTCCGATTGGTACGCGCAGCCATATGCCCATTGCCCACTGAATCTAGATGTGACTTGGGTACTCACAGAGTTCACACACGCCAGTGTTTATAACCGAAGCCTAAGCTAAGCACTCCCCAGTCTTCCTTGCCTTCCTCAATGGATCCTTCAAAGATAAGACAGAAATGCGAACGCTTCCGAATCCTCGTAATAGGGAGAGCGAATGCAGGAAAAACAACTATCCTCAAGAGGGTATGCGATACACAGGAGAACCCAGAAATATATGATAGCTCCGGGGAAAAGGTGCGAATAATGATACATACTAGTAGCAGGCTGGTGGTGATAATTGACCCATCCACATCAGATCGATGCCGCAGTTTTGAAGGCATCCAGAGAGGTAATGTGTACACGTACATGAATTGGCAACATCACCTGATGCGTTATCAGCGTGGAGAGCACGATATCGAGAATGAGATGGTGTTTCGAAGCAACCCAGGATTCATCTTCCACGATTCACGTGGTTTCGAAGCGGGCGGGCAATCCGAATTCGACAAGGTGAAGGCATTTATCGCAAGCCGTTCCGAGATAAGAGGCCTAAAGGATCGAATACATATCATATGGTAGTCATCATCGATCAAGTTCGCGACATGCGCTAGCTCACTTCTGTGGCATAGGTATTGTATTCCAATGGATGAGGCGAGCAGGTCGTTCACTGAAGGGGAACTCAAATTTTTCTCTCACTGTGACACAGGAACCAGTAAGCTTTCACATGCGACATCATGAACAATCGAGTAATTCGCAATCCTTAGTTCCAGTGATAGTAGTGTTCACCAAATTTGATGCCTCCTACGACGTCGAATTCGCTCAGCTGAGAGAAAACGGAGCATCTAGGAAAGATGCTAGAGAACTGGCCCCAAAGAGCGCTGAAGAGTCATTTGCGAATGGGCCACAGTTAAAGTTCCTATACAACTCCAAGGACATACGACGACCTCCAAAATGTCACGTATGCCTCCCCAGTAAGTCGGTTAACCGTTGAATTGTCGTACATGATAACATTTGATCTACACCCCATATCAGACATGGACAAGGATGGCGCAGACTGCGGGCCGCTCATTGCACGCACAGCGGAGACTCTGGATAATCAAGTGCTCAAGCAATTGTTCGTCTCGACTCAACAGACCAACTTAGAGCTCTGCATGAAATATGCAGTTGAAAGGCAACTCCTTCATTCTCGTTCGTCTGTAGCGAGGAACAACTGACATTGTCGGTAGAACCCTTGCGGAACTTGTCGACTCCACTCAGACGACCTCGTCTGGCATATTTAGGAAATCTCGAAAACCCGAGGGTCATGAGGTGGTAATAGGCAAGTTGGGTGCCTGGTTTCCACATCTATATGTAAGATTATTGGAATGTTCGAAAAATACTCATTCAGGGTGTGCGGTTGCTCGCAGGCAGTATGTATACTGATTCTCTCTGGCATGCTGATTGAGGACATATTGATCCATTGACAGCAAGGGGTCAGTGTGTCGATCGTCCATCGAGCCCCAGCCCTGCTGACCGAAGGCATTGTCGATCCGCTGACAGCGAGTCAGTGTATTGATCCTCCGTCGAGATCGAGCCTTACTGACCCAAAGACATCGCCCATTCATTGATAGGAAGTGAGCGCATCAATCCTCCGTCGAGCCCGAACCTTGCTGACCGACGAAATTGCTGATCCGTTGACAGGCTGTGAGTATGTTTCCTCCATCAACAGGTTGATCGTTACCCACTACTGGCATTGCTCATCTGTTGATAGGATGTGAGTGTATTTGATCTTTCGTCCATCTCCAGTCTTGCTCACCAATGACATTGCCTCAATCTGTTGTCAGCATGTGAGTGTGTTCCTCCAGCACTGAGCACCAGCCTTCCTGATCGGGCGGGTTGTAAATTACATCAATAGGCTGTGAGTGTGTAGATCCTGCATCAAGTTCGAGCCTTCCTGAGCAAAGACGTTGCTGATCCATTATCAGCATGTGAGTGTGTTTATTCTCCTTCAATTGCGAGCCTTACTGATCGATGGGCCCGCCGACCTGTTGACAGAATGTGAGTATGTTGATTGTCCGTCGAGCCTTACTAACTGATGAGCCTGCCGACCTCTTAATAGAGCGTCAGTGTGTTGATTGTATATCGAGCCTTGCTGACCGAAGAATTTTCCAATCCGTTGATAGGTTGTGAGTGTGTTCATCACCGCAGACCTCGAGCCTTACTGATGAATAAAATGTCCGGTCTGCTGACAGCGAGTGAGTGTATTCACCCTCTGCCCAGCTCGAGCCATCCTGACCCAAGACATTGATGATCCGTTGTCAGGATGTGAGTGTCTTCGTCTTCCGTCGACGTCGGGCCTTGATCACCGATGAGACTGCCGATCTGTTGATAGGTAGTGAGTGTGTTGATCGATCTTCGAGCTCAAGCGTTGCTGAGCAGAGAATTTTCTTATCCGGTGACAGGTTGTGAGTGTGGTTATCACCGGTCGAACTCGAGCCTTACTCACCAATGAAAATACTGTTCTGTTGACAGCGAGTGAGTGTATCTGAATGGATCCCCCGTCAGACTTCGAGCCTTACTGACGGAAGAAATTGGAAATCTGTTGACAGCATGTATGTGTGTTTATCTTCTTTAGATATCGAGCTTAACCCTTGCTCTCCGATGAAATCACTGACACATTCACAGGATGTGAGTGTATCAATATTCCATCGACCTTAACCCTTTCTCACCAACAACATTGGTTTTTCATTGATAGCTTGTCAGTGTTCTGATTCTCTGTCAACCTCGAGCCTTGCTGACTCTGTTGACTCTGTTGACAGGACGTGAGTGTGTCCATACACCTCGTACCCCAAGCCCTGCTCACCATCAAAATTACTGATTACTTGACAGGTTGTAAGTGTGTCTGTTGACCTCATTGAGCCTTGCTGACCCAAGGCATGCCCCATCCATTCACAGAGCGTGAGTGTGCTGATCCTCTGTCGACCTCGAGCCTTGCTGACCCAAGGCATTCCCCATCCATTCACAGGGGGTGAGTGTGCTGATCCTCTGTCGACCTCAAGCCTTGCTGACCCAAGGCATTTCCCATCCATTCACAGTGGGTGAGTGTGTTGATCCTCTGTCGAACTCGAGCCTTGCTGACCCAAGGCATTCCCCATCCATTCACAGAGCGTGAGTGTGCTGATCCTCTGTCGACCTTGAGCCTTGCTGACCCAAGGCATTCCACATCCATTCACAGTGGGTGAGTGTGTTGATTCTCTGTCGACCTCGAGCCTTGCTGACCCAAGGCATTCCCCATCCATTCACAGATTGTGAGTGTGCTGATCCTCTGTCAACCTTGAGCCTTGCTGACCCAAGGCATTCCCCATCCATTCACAGGGGGTGAGTGTGCTGATCCTCTGTCGACCTCGTGCCTTGCTGACCCAAGGAATTCCCCATCCATTCACAGTATGTGAGTGTGCTTATCCTCTGTTGACCTCGAGCCTTGCTGACCCAAGGCATTCCCCATCCATTCACAGGGGGTGAGTGTGCTGGTCCTCTGTCGAACTCGAGCCTTGCTGACCCAAGGCATTCCCCATCCATTCACAGAGGGTAAGTGTGCTGATCTTCTGTCGACCTCGAGCCTTGCTGACCTAAGGCGTTCCCCATCCATTCACAGAGCATGAGTGTGCTGATCCTCTGTCAACCTTGAGCCTTGCTGGCCCAAGGCATTCCCCATCCATTCGCAGTATGTGAGTGTGCTGATCCTCTGTCGACCTCGAGTCTTGCTGAACCAAGGCATTCCTCATCCATTCACAGTATGTGAGTGTGCTGATCCTCTGTCGACCTCGTGCCTTACTGACCCAAGGCATTCCCCATCCATTCACAGGATGTCTGTACCTATCCTCCATCAACTTCAAGCCATGCTGACAAATGACATTCTCAATTTATTTACAGGATGTGAGTGTGTTAATCCTCAGCTCACAAAGACCATGTCATGATTATTTCACCAGGGTACCCACCCTCTATATAAGGAGATGAAATCTAGCCTAAACTCCCTGGTATGTCCCACAGGCCACACACCTTTCCACAAAATTCTGATGTTAATATTGTGCTAGGCTTCTGGCTCATCAACATTGGAGCAAATTATGCAGCTCAGTTCAGGTAAAGGTTTAGGCGAGACCAAAATGAGACCGCTAATTATTGAGTGACTAGCAACCATCATTATTCTTGAATACTCTTTCTATCTCTGGGACCAGCAACACTCATCGAATGGAGACTCTGTTCGTCTTGCTGTCAAGCAGTACATGAAATCTCTGCATGCAGCTGCTGTCAGGGAAGCTGTGGGCACTGCTATTCGCACATATCAGGAAAATATGCCATCTGTTTGGAAGGCAAAGCTATCTTCTGGAGGTCCTCAGAGGAAGGCAGAGTTAATTAATTCAATTCTTGAAGTCACCTTATGCCACCGCCTGCGTACATTTCAACTCTCTTCATTGTAACAGTGCTGCTGACATGTTTATCTCCAGCAAGGTCTTGATGCTAGGAAGTGTGGCGCTGTATCAATAGTTTTTGGAGTTGAGGTGAGGTGTCTTGCAGTGAACAAAGGTTTCTGGAGGTTTCTTTGATGGTTTGCTGTGATGGCTTGAGGGTGTGGCACTGTACTGAATGGTTGTATGATCATGCAATATGTATTTTCATGGGATGTCTATGTGTGTCAATCCTTTCTAGGGCCGGTCACCATAACTGTACACAGTTATGGCCATACAATTGTATGGTAGCCATATGGGTACTGCCCATATTGTACTGTATGTCATATGGTGTACTCAATATTGTTGATAGTACGGTGTGGGTCACTATATGGTCATACGACCGGCCAATATGGTCATACAGGAGATGAAAAAATACTGAATTACAGTAGCTAGTATGTAGTACAAATGAGTATCATTCAATAAATCACCGTGAAGGCATTATGAGCCAGGCTCAGCCATTGTTTGACCAACATTAGTGTCCTAATAGTCTTGTGTTGGAGACTAGCACATCAAAGGGAAATAGTATCACAGTCACCTGAAAAAATGCGCTCAATAGTGACGGCAGAGCCTACACAGTGTGCAAAATTAGTATACCTATAGACAATAGTTTTGAGCAGGTTGAACTCACCAGGAATAGTGAGAATATTGCGAGCCAGATGCAAGAGATTCGGAAATTGTGAGTGGCGGCCTGCCCACCATTGGATGGGGTCATGGGCATAAAAGTCCTCCATGAGCAGCCTATAGTACTCCTTGAGCTCATCCCTCGAGTTCATTGGGTGTTTTTTTTGTACCAAGCTGTGAAATTGACTTTCTGTGATGATCCAGATAAAGTTTCTGCTGCTGCAGGTTGAGGAGTGACAGGGGAAGTTGAAGCTTGTGACGAAAGGTAGTTGTCTTGATAATACTGACACATCTGATCCCTTGCATGGTCCAAGTGGCTTTGAAGCATGTGGTCATCGCCGCAGTCAGTTGAAAGACCTTCAAATGAAATTCAGGGGTCAAGGACTGTGAAGGAATAAGTAGACAGAACACAAAGAGATGCTCAGTGTTTTTGGGACGTTTCCTGTGACCAAGAACCTCCTGAAAACCTCGGTTGACAGTGGCAGGTTCACCATTTGAAGGACTCGTGGAGGCCGTTGATTGAAGTTGTGTTTTCTAAAGGTGGGGGCAAGCAAGTGCAGGTAGGGGAAGGGAGCAGTACTTGTGCATATTTTGACAAGCATAGTGGTAATTCTCCCTGGATTGGGCACAAGAATCAACAAGGTATTCTCGACATAAGAACTTCACATTAGAACTCATGCCACTGTCTGTTCATGCAATTGACTCAAACATCTATTTTATCCACTGCTCGAATGGCGGCATGGTCCAACCTCTCCAACCTTTCCACCCTTCTAACAGTGAGGATTAGTGGGTTCATACATGTCCTGTTGGTCCTGAAAAAATTTGATTTCACAATTTTCATTGATGTTGCAATTCTTTATTTCAATATTAGAACCACTGCGTACACTATCACAATCATGGAATGCTCAGAATTCCCCTTGTTAAAAGAGTTCGAGATGCATGTTGATGTTTTACCTTGGGCAGTGCAGGCCATGCGCCATGCGCCATGTGCACGCCTCATCTACGACTCAAGTGCCCAGAGGTCAGACTTTCGCAGGTACTGAAAGAAGGCTATATGCACCTAATAAATGTCTCTTGAATCGTGGTATCTATCTTGCTCCATTGCTGAGATGAAAAAAAATCTTTATACTTGATTGAGAGCGTGATGATGAAGGATATCAAGGGTGAGATGAAGAAGATGGGCATGGGTATTGATTGGAGGTGGCTGAGTGTCATATCCCGTACCTCTGGATCCAGAATTCCGGATCTACTCCATTAAAGTCCGGTTCTCCGTCCTGCTATTCCGCCCGGCGCTCCACCTTCATCTCCGCACTCACCCCTAACTCCTTTAAGATTAGCTATTGCTCTGGTTACCGGTTATGTCCTATTCTGCTATGCTTACTGATCCGTCCATTCTTACTTCATTTCTGACTTCACTGCTTTGATCCGTTACACTTACTAATAAACTTTCCACATGCTTCATACATAGCCCTTACCTTTGCTGACTGATTTACTTACATGATACCTACAGTATATAAACCCCTGTAATACTCTGGAACTCCTTAGTTCAAATATCATCTTAGTTCTGCTCATTCCTGCAATCTCCAGACTTGAGTCTCACCTCTTGTCCACCTCCGAGTCTTAGGGGTTAAACCTTAGGACTAATCCTCCGGCTCTACCTTAGGGTAGTCTAACCTCTGTTCTGTTTCTACTCCGGATTTCCGTAGTAGCCTTACTCTGTCCCCACATAGTCTTCTGGAGTTCCTGTTAGGTACCATGCTGACTCAGGAAGCAGAGGGGTCAGGGCTTGGCTTCAGCTCTTGCACTGTGCCCTTAGCCGAGTATGTGCCCCGAATTTGGAGCGGGTCCGACGTTGTCCGACGATAGGACGAGTGGACCACTTTGGTCCGCTTGGAGGGTTGGGGAGTAAGAGCTACTAGTGGCGGGCCGACTAGGAGCAGGGCGGAGAAGGCAGGGAGTGATGCGGAGGGTGGATAGGAGCAGGGGAATGTTTTGGGAAAGGCAGAGGATAATGTGGAGGGACAAGGGAGGATAGTTGATAGGGGCAGAGTATAAGGGGAAGACTTAGAGCAGGGCTCTAAGTTGGAGCGGAGGGTCAGAGGGTTGGAGGTGACAGCAAGTTGAGACTTGTGTCCAGAGGAGGTAAGGTCCTACTGAGAATTCTCACAAGAGGTAACTGCGAGAAGACAAGTAATATTAAGACTAAGGAAAAATATCTAAGTACAGGATATGTTATATACTTCTATTGTATGAGGCAGTGATCAGGATAACTATGTAGTAAAGCTATGTACCAAGGATATAGTTTGTAAGTACTTTTACATAGGCAAAGACATAAGTCGGAGCGGATATCAATATGTACGCGTCGGATCAGCGATTGGGCAGTAATAGGAATTACTGGTAATCCGGAAGTAAGGGTCTATGTACTGAAGGGGAAAGTGTATATCTAAAAGGGGAAAGAGATCCAGTTGAATGGAGAGGTTTATGGAAGGGGACTGGTTGAGTGGTTGAGCGGAAGCGCAGGGCGGAATGCGGGCTTGTGATAGGATGGAGCGGAGGATAGATGGAGCAGAGGGGGTTGGAAAGTGGAGTGGATATCAATATCGGAGCGGTCGGATCAGGTATATGACAGTTCTGCCAAACTCCACCAATATTTGTCCTCTGGAACTCCCTGGACTTCCGTCGGACTTCCCCTCTGCCCACCGGAAATTAAGAGCATGTACTTGGGTAAGGGGCACAGCGCACAAGCTGAAGCCGAAGCCCTTTGAGTAACCTCTCCCTTGAGCACAACCTTAACGCTGAGTGGAGGTACACAATGATTGGAAAGTCCTTGTTGAATTGCATTCTGAGTTGCTGACCACTCGGTGGTTTGTCATTCATTCGTAGGTCCATACACAGCCTGGCCCAAATGTCTCCAAAGAACGATAAGGTCATTCAAAGTAAAGGGTAACTTAGAAGATCCGAGCAAAGAATGTATGCCATATGATGAATGTACTTCATGGACTCAGCTGCTCATACTACTCCACATATGTATGCGTGTAGAAGACTATTTTGGGAGTGAGTCCAATGATTCTTGAATATGAATGACCTACCAACTGAGGAGCTTGAAGGGTCATATAGTTCAGGCCCCGTGGTGGGTTAACTGTGATGGAGGTGAACAGAGATCTGAGTCCGGCAGGAGATATTGGGATGCCCTGACGGTGGCAGCACAGTGTATGAAAGGAAGAGGATCGTTTACCCATGCAGTTCGTGATTGTGGTTCATAGTGCAGTGTGTGCAAGATTGAGTGGGAGAAGGCTTCATATGTGCGCTGAAAAGGACTGGAAATATCAGGGTATAACCAGCTCACCTGTTCCGACTGAAAATATCAGTGTAACAATGAAGATAGACCAAGTGGGATGATTTGTACAAAGCAGTAGCAAAATGTGGCATTGAAGAAGAAGAGTGGATGACGTGAGGAGGTCATGAGGCCATCAGAAGAGAAATCCTAGTGGGGCAACATTGATATGACAGAGAACTGAATAACAATGCGGACAATGAACGAAAAAAGTTGGTGGATGGTGTGAGAGAATTCACGACCAAAAGAAGAAGGGTAGGAGAAGCAGGAGTGAACAGAAGAAGATGGGTGAAGGAGGAGAGGATTGGCTGGGGGAAGAGTGGAAGTTAAGAAGGTTGGGCGCTATGCGGCACAGTGGGGCTTGAGTTGAAGGTGACTGGAGGAGATATTGAGTGAAATGACTGTGGGAGGCCTTGAGGCAAGTGATTCTGACCTTGCAGTGTATAGGGTTATTGAACTCACATTATTGGTAATACAGATGATGAGTAGTATGGTGTCTATGACAAAGTGTGAGCATTTGTGAGGGTCTAGACGAGACAGTTGGAGAGAATATTGTTGGATAAAATATGGGACTCGAGTCACTCGACGTCTACCATGCAGGCAGTAAGTTAGAGGAGGCTTCCTGGAAAATCCCGCACAACAATGCAACAGGGACCAACTGGAATGATTGAGACCAAGTCACCTGGCCTTCCCATTAAGGAAGCCTTATTAAGCTTGGTGAATATGCTTCTCGCCAACTTTAATTAGGCTCGGATGTAGTGAAACTCCAACACCAGTGTTAAATACTGCCCCAAAGGCTCTTTTTACCTTCTATCCCTACCAGCCAGCCCACCAAAAAGAGTAAGCGTCCTCAGCTATACATCCCGCCCTCTCCCACTGTCGGCACTGTCCATAATGTTCCCGATTTATCTGAATCTCCCCCCACAGCGGCTTCCCATGCCCCTCTGCTTCTTACCTCCACACCATCGACGTCACAGGGCGGTATAGCAGCCCTTCTTTGTGCTTACTCTCTCAAAATACTTCCCAGATCTTGTCCTAATCACCTGCCTGTCCTGCATGCTGTCCTCCTCATTCCTTCACCTGTCAGAGGGCGCTCAGACCATGCTATCTATCATGTCCTGTGGAGTGGGTTCTTCCAGGCTCAAAGGCCTCTCTAAATCTGTCATTTCCCACCATTTCAGAGGACAGAATCGCCAGTCTTATGTGTTGATGGCTGGCAGGCAAACCCAGTGCCTCGAGGCAGCTGCAGTAAGTCGTCAGGCTGAGTTTCAAGGTGCGTACTGTAGACAATTTTGTTGCTGTTTCTCACTCTCATCATTTCTGTGCAGAAATGTCGGCCGAGGACCGTGAGATGGTTGAGGACATGATGGACGACTATGGCATGAATATCAAGCCATTACCCTACACAGCACCCCCAGGCGAAGAGGGTTTGGACTTGAGTCACGAAGGAGGTGAATATGAGGCATTTGAAGGTCTTGCGCATGAAATTGCTGGCATCAGCGGATTGTGAGTGTTATTCCTTCACTATCTGTGTGGTTGTTATGACCAACGTCCCTTAACCTAACTAGTAGGTGTCTGGAGATCGGACCACACCACAGGACTTGTCTGAGAGATGATAGAACAGGGATAGTATTTGAGAGGGAACGTCTAGGTCTACGATGATGTAAGAACGAAGAGGTTAAGTCTAAGGAGTACTACTGACTACTACCTAGACTATATACTATACTTGGGTCGGAGATATCTGAGTATGAAAGGTGGTGATATATCTATATACGGTCATAACATTGCGCCTAGGGTATAGGGCTTCTTACCAACCAATCAACTACAAGAAAGGGTCCATAGGTTTTAGGGGAATCGGTGATTAAGCAGGGTCTCAGGGTACTGCTTCTATTCAGGGTCAACAGATATGAAGAAGGGTGTGAGAGAGTTCTGTGACAAGAAGTCTCAAGCAGTAATTAAGGATCTCGATGAGAGATGGATCTGGAGATGTATCGGGTACGATCGGATCTAGGGTTTCTCCAGGGTCTTCGGTAATGAGCATGCTTCTCTATGAGTGGTGCTTCTGTGATAGGGATTCAGGGATTCAGCTGTGACTGTGCAACAGGTTCTTATGTAAGGGATTCGGTGAATGACAGAGGTTACTCTTAACATGTTGTGAGAGGTGAAGGTGTGCGATGTGAAGGATGATGACTCTTCGAGAGATGGCTCGTAAGGGACTCTCGGTTATGGTTCGATCATAGAGGCATGTAGATGCTTATGATGTAACCCGTTGCCTAATCGTAGGACTTCTAAGGATGTGATGACGTCGTATGTCTAGGGTTACGGATATAGATGGATGACGTCGACTTAGTATAGATGTGATGTAAAGATAGTGATCGTTAATCGGTTATCCATCTTATCTTATCAGGGATCTATCTAATCTAATCTTATCGGATAAGGTGACTTAGGGTTTGATAATCGAAATTTAGATGCAGTTGGTAACATTCATGACAGTGGTCACATTAACACCAGTCAATTGTAGCCACTATGTAGACCCTCGTACTCGGACAGACCACATCGAAAATCAAACGAATTATTGGAATATCCAAATGGACTTCCTGGTGGAGGCATATCTAGACTACCGCTACCGAGACTCTGGCAATGGCATGCCCCGCTTTGACGAAACACGTGCACCATCACCTTCGGACAACTCGGACGACACTCAACGTGTTTCATCATTGAGCGACATTGAGCTCATTGACATCTTTAGTATGTGTAGATGTTCTTGTTTGTTAATATCAATTTATTTGTGCACAGGGCGCAAGCGCTCATCTCTTCAACCGCAACCCTTTCATAAATATCCCAATGAAATTTTAATATACCATGGTTATATTGGTTGTGCACCATTGTATCCGAATGTTGCCATATCTCTACAAACTCTAGCTGCATACCGCCAGACACACCGAGTGTGTCCAACGTTTAGTTTTCAAGCGCAGTGCAAAACGCTATGTTTTCTTCATGATGTAAGTACACATGCCTACGTAATTATGTAACTTTTAATAAAGTTGCCCTCACAGATCCCTTACCACCCTTACCTCAGCACACAACTATCAGCTGCTTTTGACGTGTACCTTGAAATTCTTCATCACGTTGATCAGCATCTTTTCACAGCCCTCAAACGCAATACTCCACATTGGCGCCTTCTCAACTCATGCCCAGCATGTTTTCATATACTTGAGGATGAGCCCAAACTGGAATTCAACTGGCTCGTGTCAATTGATGGCAACAACAGTTTGAAGAGGTGGGACTCTACAATATATGGGACAAGTGCAAGACTAGACTCTCGCAAGGCCTGCTCTGATTTTTGGATTGATCCTGGGACTGTAGACAAGTTTAATGGTGAAGTCCAACCATGAGCGGTACGTGTTCATTGATTGCTTGATAACCTTCTGAGTATGATGTATAGGCGGTGCCAGAAGAACGCACTCATTGGGAGGATGATACGGCAGCTGAAACCAACCCTGGTTCATTCAGCTGTGCAGATCGGTGGAAGAATGTTGGCCTCAAAGTACGCAAGAAGATGTTTTCTGTATTCGACGAATCGGGCATTTTCATAGCTGCGTGTCACCATCGCTTCATACTTCTAGCTTCCAACATGATCCGAAGCGGAGAATTGTAGGTTCATTTTTGCTTGTCGATTAAGCTCTACTGATATATTAGGTCGAAATATCCACTTGCCATTCTTGACAAGCTTCTTACTGTCTACGGCAAGGATGGAGCTTGTGTGTATGATATTGGATGCACATTTATGAAAACACTAGGTAATAGTTCTTTGGGACCATGAGCACACCAGCTTGGCTTTTGTCTCATGGTCGGTGCCTTTCACGGGCATGCTCACAATCGGAAATGTCAGCTTGATTGGCATCCAGTATATATTCCAGGGACAGGACACAGCAAAGGAGAGGGCTGTGAGCACATATTTTCAGCATCAAATGCACTTGCTTGTGGCACCCAACATGGAAGCAAGTTCCATCAGCACCAGACGATCAAACAACACTTCACGTTTTGGAATGATGATAAATACGCTGCTCTTAGTAAGCTCTTTCTAACCTTGTTCTACAATGATGATGTTATTCAATGGTTGTTAGGCAACTTTCTGTGGAATCACTATTGAGAAGCTCTTAAATTGGTTCAAATCCTCACTGCTGAGTTGACTGCCATCAAAGCTGAATTGAATATTGTTGATGAAGACTTCCCTCGCTACCTCCAGGAAGAACGCGCCTATCTCGATAGCTTGAAGCAGCTGCCTGCAAGAGACCAGATCTGTATACGCTATGTTGAAACACTTGATGAACTAGCTGAACAAAGGTTAGTACTATTTTGCTACATAAATGTATCTAACTTGAAAATATTAGGACTGATTGGGACTCTGCATGTCAAGCAGCCAATAATGCTCTTACCGGCATTGCTGCCAGCAGCTTGGAGGAGATCAATCAAGTGCTCGCCCAAGCTTGCATCTGTGTTGACTCCTCATATGCAAAATTACAGCATGCTGAAGCGCTAGTGGCACATGTCGAAATACAGCTAGCCATGGAAGTGCGATGGGAGATAGGCGGGCCAGAATACAACCAATTCAAGATGGAGGCACGTCTTGGAAAGTATCGCACTGCACTCAATGAGTTGGAGCACTTAGTAGTCATGCGGTTATTCGAGCTTTCAAAACTGTCATTATCAGGGACAGGTGAGTTGTGAGTTGGGATTGAAAATCTATTGACATATTTTTATAGGGTATAAGCTACATCAGCAGATCAGCAAGGCTTTGCAACAGCGATCTGAGGCTATACGAAACGCAATTGATCGCTACAATATCCAGGCAGTCACTTTAAATCCCCCGCATCCGAAGATTTTGTGGAAAGATATTGCTGACTATAGTTTTATTGGCGAGTTTGATCTTTTACGCCATTCACGGACGGATATTCAGACCAATGATTGGGCAGAACCAGCCCATCGCGAAGCAACTACTAAGTATTTCAAATTATGTCAAGCTCATGAAGAAGTTACACGACTTAATGTTGAAATTTGCCACTTACGCACTGCCATGCACACTGAAGAAATTCAAACAACTGCCGTCATACAGGATCTACTTATTTCGGATCAAAAACTTGCTCGGGAGCTGCAGCACCAATGGTGTTCACGTGCCACTATCAATGCAGTACACTCCTATCGCTTAGATCGTATCGAGAGCCTTGCTGGATTCTCAGGTGTTAGGGGTGTAGGTGTCCATATTCCAACAATAATTTATCTCACAGCAGCAACACAGACTCGGAATGTTGATGACATTGGTGCACTTATCAGCTCTGACTATACCAACATGGATGCTATTGATCGCGAAGAGCGCGACATGACAACAGAGGATATGGCCGATTATTTACATTCCATCATTGACTGACATGTTTAGTTGACCGCTTTTTACATGTAGTTGTTACAATTGAATGTTTGATACATTCGTACACAATATCATCAATCATTATGCGAGATTCAAAAAGCGAGATTCAAAAACGAGAAAAGTGTTGCGATTGCGCAATTTCACATGAAATGCATCTTCTTCGACAGGTTTGCGTGCTTATCTTTGAAGTTCTTCCTCCAGTGTTCAAGGTCGAATGCGTCGTCGTGGCTGGAGATGGTGGCAGCATCGAAACCCATACACACTGGTGGGGTTGAAGTGGAATGCACCACACAATAACTGATTGATCTTGCAGGCGGTGAGATTTGAAGTTTGAATTTAACACACTGGCGGGGTTGAAGTGGAATGCGCCACATGATAACTGATTGATCTTGCAGGCGGTGAGATTTGAAGTTTGAATCTAACACACTGGTGGGGTTGAAGTGGAACATGCCACATGATAACTGATTGATCTCGCAGGCAGTGAGATTTGAAGTTTGAATCTAACTTCCCAAATCGGCACTACTAGTAATTGTGCTGCACCTTGCGTGCTGTTGCATGTCCTCCACCCATCGTTGATGCTTCAAGCCCTTCCTGTCTTATCCTTCAACTTAGAAATCTTGGTCTGGTCATGGTTGTTCACGCTATAACATATTCAGAAATAAGGCCATTTGCGAATTCCAAGGTAGAGTCCTCACAGTTTAATATTCTGCAGTGTTATTCAATCCGCATTATCTAACACATTTAGCCCATTTATATTCATCGTCTTTGTGTGCGCTAGTAGCACTCTCACGTCTTCTTCCACTACCATAGAGTCTTCAATGGGCTTGCACTGTTTCACCATGTCTAGTCTTGCTATGCTACACTGTTCGACATTTGTGCAGGGTTTCAGCAACAATGAACACCAGGCTGCTGCCAGGGCATTGCTTAGGCACAACGCACACATTGATGGTACTCACTATCAAACCAAGACACCTGGCGGACTTCATCCATCCTACTACTGCTCAACAGCCAAACTCAGGGAGAACTCTCTCTCAAAAAGAACTGATTGATGCAATGCTACAGGATGTGTTTGATGTGGTAAGTAAAGTTTTTATTTTCCCAGCGAAATCTTATATGTTTTAGATTGCAATGCAGGACTGTCTCGATGGTGGCATATCTTTGCCTGTTTGATGTCCAGGCTCTGAAGCAGACCTGACGATATCTCCCGAACAAATTGGTGTCAACCTGTACATCACACCTCGGGAGTTGCAAGAAGTACCTCAACAGATCGGGGGAGATGTCGCTGTATTAGTGCAATCATTCTCTCAAGAGTTAACAGTACCTCATCTGCAGTGCTTCACCAAGCGCTGCAACATGGAAAATATCAAACCACCAAAGTCATGTAAGTCTTTCTGTCATTGTTCCTTCAATTATTGACTTAGTTCCAAAATCCCCTCAACTCACATCAGTATTGAAGGACCACAGTACCTCCCTGCACCCCTTGTTGCCACCGGTGCCCATATCACGTGCTCTGCACAAGCGCCCAAGACTTTTGTGAAGAACTTGCAAAATTTGTCTCTTGCTGATGCAGACTCAAAGAAGCTGCCGTCTGCAGCAATTCGCGAGGGAGTCGAATGGGCAGCGAGTGCTGCTACAAAGGCCAGTAATTTAACTCCACATTCGCAGATTTGCCAATGCCGGTAAGCAAAAGTATTTGTTGCCAATAAAGACCCTGGCCCGACTTTTTCAGCTCAGCGGGAACTTGGTGCCACAAATTTTAATCTGCCACTTATTAGTATTGGACCCAATATGGAGGCCATCCTAGATCGCTTCAAATTGGGAGACGAGGTCTTACCCAAGCTGTGTGTGCTAATCCAAACTGTGCGCAGCAGTCGTTGGGAGTCTGTCTTGAGGGCTCAGGCATGGGACCTGCCTTATGAACAGGCTGCATTCTTGTCAATGGCACTGCTTGTGGACCTTCAAGGTGTACTGTTCAACCCTGAGATTGCTAAGGTTAGTAATTCAAATCGGCACCTGCATAGTGCTAGTGCTAAAGTAATCGGCTGCTAGGGTCAACATTCCATTCTCTCGGTGATTTTGAAATGTCTTGGTATTCTAGTGTTTTTATGCATGCTTTACTTGTTCGGATTGTTTATTATCTTGTAGATTATGCCGGAATCTTATTTTGCAACATATCATTTTAATGTGGCCCAATCATAAATCGTGGTCAAGTCAACATCTCTGTGCGTTAAATATTCAAACACGAGCCGAACTTCTGACCACTAACTTCCCTGTGTTGTTTTTCTATAGACAATGCCATCTCAATCTTTCTATACCAACAAGAACAACAAAACTGCCTCGAGGCACATTCAGATGCAGCCTCGCATCCATCCCAAGGTTGTTTTGAGCAAGGAAGCACCCAGTATACTTAACGCCAACTGACGGGCCAAGTCCCATCGGTTTAAGGTCACACTTGACGATGCTTGGACTCAGATTGATGACACTACAAAGACCATCGCTTCAGCCCACCATAAAAGTGTTCGCCATGTGCAGAATGACCTCTACATTGGTCATGGAATACTTCGCTCTAGGCACTTCAAGGTGAATGCGTGGAATGCGTTCTGTTGGAAAAAAAACCAGGACAGTGAGAATTGTAAGTTTGGTTTCTCCCTCACTATCCATGCACTAATTGTATCTGCTACAGGTGATCAGGGCAGACATGCACTCGAGCAGCTTGTTCATGAGCATAAGGCCAAGTACTATGCGCTCTCGAGGGAAGAACAACAAGACCTGGTCAAGGAGTATGCCGAACAGAAGTTGGCAAGGATGGCTGGTGTCCGCACCTCCACCAAGTCAAAGATCAATGACATCACTCAAACTCTAAAGGCCATTGAAAACAAAGTACATGTCCCTTACTATTTTTCATCTTATAGTTTTGCTAACGGTGATTTAATAACTAGCTCAATAGCTTGAACTGTCGCACAGGTGCAGAAGCAATTCTATACATGACGCATGGGTCAACCGATCTCCCCCTCCAAGGCATAACCTTTGCAATGGAAGGTGTACAACACTTCATGCAGTCTGTGATGAGTATCGACAATCAAGATTTGATCACTAAAATGGAAGGCTTTGCTGTCCAAGGCATGAGAGGTTCGTGGCCGTGGCTATTTATTCTTCTCGCTCTATGTTAATCTGCATCCAGGGGCTGCAAAAAATCACCAACAACATGTCTCTGAAATATGCTCATCCATCTGCAACATTATCAACCGCACTCTTCATAAGTTCCTTCCCCTCTTTTCTGGTACATTCACTTACACTGTAGTGTAGGGGAAATTACTGGCGACTCCAACGCCAAAATGCAATGGGCTTACTATTTCTGGAATGTCATTCAACATTACCAAGTTGTGATAGAAGGGTGGCCCAAAAACATTCCATTTGCGAACCTCAGCAAGGTGTCTAGTGCCCTCCCTGAGCTTGAGATGCTCCTTCGGAAGTGGGAGTTGGGTACCACACATTGGAAGGTTTTGACTGACGAAGATTTCAAGAAAATCTGTCTGGAACACAACAAGAAGCTTGAGAGTGGCGAGATCAAAGATACTTGCCAACGACCTCGATCTGACAAAGGCAGTAAATGCAAGAGGCCAGCAGCCACTGATGAAAACTCAACCTGCCGCAAGAAGTACAAGAGTAAAGAAACTATTGAAGACAGTGACAATGAAAATGGTGAGGAAGAGGAAGATGACACTCCCGATCATCGGCCATCTGATGGCACTTCCGACACCACCCCTACCCCTCATGTACCTGGCAGTGCTCTTACTCTTTCACATCCTAACTCCAACAATCTTCCTCTTAATGATTCTTCCAATGGCTCTACCTCCGATGTCCCTCTCTTCGACTGTGATGCTGCACTGGCTATGCTAGACCAAATCTTTGGTCCTGTGCCCCAAGCTGGCCCATCAACCATTGGTCATGATCTTGAGTTTAACTTCTTTAACTGTGATATGTTCGGCTCTACATCCTGATACTTTTTCCTCGCATCTTTAGACTATGCTATTGAATGTATGCTACTCTATGTTCTCGCCTTCAATTGTGTTGAATCTTTTCACCGGCTCTCCATCCTGATGCTTTTTGTTCTCGTATCTTTAGACTACATGCGCTTGAATCTATGTTCTGACCTTCAATTATTTTGAATCTTTCACTATACTAATTCCTAACTTTGACGAGTTAACCTTCAGACACGTAGTAGTGATAACATATGTTTTGACTGATTTTATTAACTTTGCAAAAGAACATAAGAGGGCGGTAACATCAGAAACTCCAGTAGGCTAATGACATCGAAAGCACATGGCTATCTCACTCTCTGCACAGAAACAGTGAGAAGAGAGCGAGAACAGTTAAAAAAAATGTAGGGTAATGGCTCGATATTCATGCTGTAGTCGTCCATCATGTCCTCAACCATCTCACGGTCCTCGGCTGACATTTCTGGGCAGAAATGATGAGAGTGAAAAACAGCAACAAAATTGTCTACAGTACGCACCTTGAAACTCAGCCTGACGACTTACTGCAGCTGCCTCAAGGTGCTGGGTTTGCCTGCCAGCCATCAACACACAAGACTGGCGATTCTGTCCTCTGAAATGGTGGGAAATGACAGATTTAGAGAGGCCTTTGAGCCTGGAAGAACCCACTCCATGGGACATGATAGATAGCGTGGTCTGAGCGCCCTCTGACAGGTGAAGGAATGAGGAGGACAGCATGCAGGACAGGCAGGTGATTAGGACAAGATCTGGGAAGTATTTTGAGAGAGTAAGCACAAAGAAGGGCTGCTATACTGCCCTGCGACGTCGATGGTGTGGAGGTAAGAAGCAGAGGGGCGTGGGAAGCCGCTGTGGGGGGAGATTCAGATAAATCGGGAACATTATGGACAGTGCCGACAGTGGGAGAGGGCGGGATGTATAGCTGAGGACGCTTACTCTTTTTGGTGGGCTGGCTGGTAGGGATAGAAGGTAAAAAGAGCCTTTGGGGCAGTATTTAACACTGGTGTTGGAGTTTCACTACATCCGAGCCTAATTAAAGTTGGTGAGAAGCATATTCACCAAGCTTAATAAGGCTTCCTTAATGGGAAGGCCAGGTGGACCAAGTATGACAGAAGTCACACACAGAAGTCACACGTCAAAACAAAGAAACAAACAAAGATTAATTTTTGAAAATGTGCATTGAGTTATCGACCATCACATTGAACATTATAATTCGATGGGACCGACACCCAGCTAACCTATCACTAGCATTAATATCATACTATCGAGCTCTCGAGATACAAATTGGATAGTCCCTTCCTCTCAACGCAATCAAGCACCCCATCCTACATTTCTCTGAGTGCGTGCGTCCTCCCCCCATGCAATCATTGTCTTACCCTGGTGAAAGCTCCTGTATTGTATATATTCTCCCCCTTGCGAGGCATTTCCACTGTGACAGTTCCCTAACATGAAGCCCTGTATGATCGCAGTCCCACTTGTGTATTCATGCAAGAATAGAAGACACAGCTTCCTCAATAATCAACGTCACAAGGTATTCGTTAGCCATAACTTGTTACTGTACAACCGCTTTCTGATTCTGACTCAATTCATGATCAAATATCATGGGCAAAAGTTGAACGTACTACCGGTTGTTCTATTCATTCATCATTGACGGCAAGCTGACAACAAGGGTATGTCTTATATGTATCACACGAGGCAGCGCTAATCATCTATTCGCAGGTTCATATACTTGTACATACACCTTTGTCTTTCATCTTGGCTGGTTGTTTGCACGCCACAATGCCCAGCGCATCATCCAAGCATGCCAATTGATTTTCTCCTATCTAGCTCAAGCCTTGCTGATCCATTGACAACATTGTGGGTGTATTGCTTCTATGTCGAGGTTGAGGGTTGTCGAGCTCAGAATCTGCTGACCTGTCGACAGCAAGTGAGTGTGTCGATCTTCCACAGAGGTCGAGCACTGCTACCGAAGACATCGGTGCAGGCTATACTGTCATTTTTATCCATAACCATCTCTTATTATACACAACAGGTTATGCTTCCTTGTCACAGACTACTGACGGTTTGATAGGTTATCCATCACGGCTCCCACGATGGATAATATGCCAGACACCTTAATATGGTATAATTCTACTCGTTTTGGAGCTGTCCATGATGGATAACGAGTCGGCCAATACTATTTGGTGCGCTCCTACCCTTTCCGGGCTGTCATCACGGCTCTTTAAATATCTCCTGTCCCTCCCTCCACTTCTCCACGATTCGGATCTGATTGTCCCATCAAAGAAACGGCTCCCACGATGGATAATATGCCAGACACTTTAATATGGTATGATTCTACTCACTTTGGAGCTGTCCATGATGGATAACGGGTCAGCTGATACTATTTGGTGCTTTCCTACCCTTTCCGGGCTGCCATCATGGCTCTTTAAATATCTCCCGTCCCTCCCTCCACTTCTCCACGATCCGGATTTGATTGTCCCATCAAAGAACCGCTACTGACATGACATGCGACCTGGAACCTCGGGATAATATTAGTATGTGCTTCTATTGGTGCCTCTGGTTCCTGCTGACCAAAAAGAACAACATATTTGGTATGTCTCCATTCGTCGCTCACCTGCCCAGTTCCCAGTTCAACGTTCAACCATGGCCCCGTCTGCTCGTGCACACCTGCACCATGGTTTTTGCTCCTCTCGCTCCCAGATCCCTCCTTCAGTGTCTTGTTGCAATTCTGTTTGCTTCACTTACGAGCTCGCATCCAGTCTCAGTCATTTTTAGTATCTTTCTCCACCTTTTTTTGTAGTTTACCACTGCTCTTTTCTTACATTGTGCTGTTGCAATCCGTATTGCTGTACTTTCTCATTACATCGACATAGGTGACGCGTTCCAACGAAATTACCAAATAAGGAAATTGTAGTTGAAATTTTGCCAAGTCCCACTGTCCCACACTGAGGCGCCGGCGCGATTTTTTTTATACTAAGACCTCCAGTGCGATAGATTTTCTCCAATTCCTCTCAATATAGGGCGCATAAGATCATAGTGTATTCAGTGGCTCAATATATACAAGTGCCTGTCAAATACGATGAACATTAAAGACACGTGGTATGCTCGCAAAACTTGTCAATATGAGTATTCTACTATGATTTTTGTCTGTTTGAACAGTAAGATTTTTTGAAGAAATAAGAGCAGGATGGAGGGCATACCTCTTTGAAGAGGGGCATGCCGAGTCCCCCACAATTGTAGCAGCCTTGCGTTTCACTTTGACCTCTCCGATGTTGTTTGCCTGTGTAAGACGCGTGGTAGCTTGTCTAACACGCCCCGTCTTTCTCGGTGCACTGGCGGTGCTGGATATGTGTTCATCCACAGTCGGTGGAGGTGCGTCAGCTCGTTTCAGAGGCTCGTCCATAGTCAGTGCAGGGGTTGCGGCGGCGGCTTGGGTTGGCGCTGGTAAGTGCAAGCTGGGTGAACTGATTATGTTGGTACTGGATGTGCGCTCGTCTGCGGTCGGTGCAGGTGTGGGTGCTTGCGCTGGATGCTCATCAAAAATCAACCCAGGATCTACTGCTGGCAAGTCCACGCCAGCAGCCCGTTTTTCCAAGTGATGACTAGCAGTCAGTACAGTGGCAGTAGAGACATTGTCC